GTTCTCACTTACAAGTGGAAGCTCAGCTAGCTATGAGGACGCAAAGACATAAGAATGATACAGCGGATTTTGGGGACTTGGGGGGAAGACTGGGAAGGGGGTGAGGGATAAAAGACTACACATTGAGTACACTGTACACTGCTCAGGTGATAGGTGCACTAAAATCTCAGAAATCACAACTAAAGAACTTGTTCATGCAACCAAACACACCACCTGTTCCCCAAAAACGATTGAAATAAAATTTTTAAAAAAGATAGCTAAAAGTGTATAATTGGATTGTTTGTTACAAAAAGAAAGGATAAATGCTTGAGGTGATGGGTGCCCCATTTATTTTGATGTGGTTATTACTCATTGCATGCCTATATCAAAATATCTCATGTACCTCATAAATATATACACCTACTATGTATCCACAAAATTAAAGATTAAAAAAATAAATTTTAAGACATAAAAAAAATATGCAAAGAATCTTTACTTCCTGGAAACTGACTAGAGATGCCAAATGCCTCAACTGGCCCAGGGCTATATGTTTTCCTAAGATAGAAGAAGTGCTAAAACAGGGAAAGTCCTGAGCAAACTGGGATGAATTGGTCACCGAGGATTTAACTTAAATGGAAGCACTTTTAGGAATTTTCAAACTTTGAAATTCCATATTTCTTTCATATCTAGAAATAAATTTAAGATTAAAGTAACAAAGCAGTTGGCTACTTAATCCAATGTTTAATGTTTCTCATCTTAACAGGCATAAACATAAAACATTTTTCATGCTAAAATGTAAAAAATAACCACTAAACACATTATTTCACACTTTTACATTTTTGTATTAATACATTATATATATATATATAATATCTCTCTGTAATATAATAAATCTCACATCTCAAGATAAACTTTTTAAATATACATATTTAAATATATATAATATATAAGAATGAAAATATATACATATTTAAATATTTAAGAAGAATATGTACATATTTAAATAATAATATATTTATATATTTAACTATATATTTTATAGATTATATTATCTATTATTAATCATATAAATAATTCTTATACAAGATTAACTTTTAATATATAAATATATAAATATATTTAATATGATTCTTAACTTTTCTATGATTAATATTTTATGATTCTTAACTTTTTAAATATATAAATAGTAAAAATTAATATATATTATTTAAAATTTTTATAAATTAATGTATATTTTAAAAGAATCATATAAATATATACATTTATATATATTAAAAGTTAAGATAATATAATCTATAAAATATATAGTTAAGATAATATAATCTATAAAATATATAAAGAATATATAGTAATATGAATGTAAAGATTATAATAGATAATATAATCTATAAAATATATAAATATATAATATAATATATATAATAGATAATATCTATAAAATATATAGTTAAAATAATCTATAAAATATATAAATAATATATAGTAATGTAAATGTAAAGATTATAATAGATAAAATAATCTATAAAATATATAGTTAAATATATAAATTATGTCATTATTTATTATTTAATATATAAATATATAATATATATTTAATATATATAAATATATATTAAATTTATATATAATATATAGTAAATATATACATATATTATACATAACATATATATTATTTATATATAAAATATATATATATTTGAATATTTAAGAATATATACATATTTAAATATATTAAATTATTTAAAATATTAAATATATTAAATTATTATTTATATATTAATAACTATATATTTAACCATAATAAAATATAAATATATAATATATAAAATATATTATATATAACATAAAATATATATATTATTTATATATTATTTAATCATATATAGTATATATGCTTTATATATATTATCTATTATTGTATACATGTCTTATGATTCTTAACTTTTAATATATAAATATATTTAATAATCTTTTATGTGATTCTTAACTTTATATTTTAAAAATATATTTTATATATTTAAATATATATATTTATTAAGAATTAAGAATCATATATATGATTATATATATAAAGTCAAGAATCTTGAGATGTGAAATTATCTTGGATCATCCAGGCAGGGTCAACCTAATCACATAAGTCCTTAAAAGTGGAAGAGGGAGGCTTAAAGAAGGAGTCAGGGAGATGAGATCAAAGAAGAGACAAGAGACTCAGAGGAGAGACATGTGATCCACTGCTGCTGGTTTTGAAAATAGATGCCATGAGCCAAGGAATGCAATCAGCCACCAGAAACTCAGCTGTCAACCATTAAGGTAACAGGGCTCTGAACCCTATAACTACAAGGAACTGAATTCTGTCAACACCCAAATGAACAAGGAAACAGATCCTTCCCTAGAGCATGCAGAAAGAAATGCAGACCTCCTGTTAACACCTTCATTTTGGCCCAGTGAGACCCATGTTAGATTTTTTGACCTACAGAACTGTAAGATTATAAATCCATGCTAAGCCACTAAGGTTGTGGTAACTTATTATGACTACAGTGGAAAACTAATACAATATATTAATTCAGTCTTTCATTTATAAGACATAGGGGGAAAAGTAGGGGTGGGAAGGTAGAAGAGGAAAAAAATTAACTTTATGAAATATCAGAATTCTTAGAAAATCTTAAAAATACTTTGTATATGTTTTAGAATCGTGAAAGGAAAACACAGTATCACCATATTCTGTAGTTAGCCTGGGAAAAGACAAATTGGTTAGAAACCAGTGGCAGCAACAGAAAGGGGGTAGATGGCCAATGAGTAAGAAGTTTGCTCACACAGGCTACTGCTTTTTTTGTACACCTTCAAAGATATTACTTTGCCCATCACTTGTTCTTTCTGAAGCCAAAAACTGAGAAAGTTGGGGGAAGAGGATGGAAAAAGGAAAATCCCCACTCTTAACACTCATTACATTCATTATAGAAAGATTGTTCTTGTTACGGCCCCCAAGGACAATCCTGGAATTATTTTAACAAGTCTCTGTGTACACAACACTTTGTATAAACAAAACCTATGGAATTGCCAATAGATTTTCTTCTTTTAAAAAAGTGCTGTTTAATGAAACATTGAAGGGCAATCATGCCTTTAAAAATAAATGATCAGTTGGGCGCGACGGCTCACGCCTGTAATCCCAGCACTTTGGGGGACCGAGGTGGGCAGATCATGAGGTCAGGAGATTGATACCATCCTGCTCAACATGGTGAAACTCCATCTCTACGAAAAATACAAAAATTAGTTGGACATGGTGGCGTGCGCCTGTAGTCCCAGGCACACTCGGGAGGCTGAGGCAGGAGAATTGCTTGAACCTGGGAGGCGGAGGTTGCAGTGAGCAGAGATCACGCCATTGCACTCCAGCCTGGCAACAGAGTTAGACTTGGTCTAAAAAATAAATAAATAAATAAAAACGGTCAACTCTTAGCTTCAAGAGATTGTTTAAAGCAATTCAGCGTAAACTTTGTTAGGTTACAGATACGATGAAGTACAAGTCAAGGTTTAAGTATTTAAGCCAGGGTGCTTATTTCTTTTTATATTCTTAAGTCTTTATATTCTTAAGTCAACATAAGCTCTGCTTTGCGAAAAAGACTATTTGTATTGTATTTCTCAATTGTGGCTAAATACAGCTGTGTGATTAGATTCTAGCTAGAAGCATGAGGGTCGAAATAATGTGTGCAACTTTGAAGAACGGTTCTTTCCCTTCTGCTTGGCTGAAAACTAGACATGAAAGCTTGATAACCAATTGCTGTCTTGGATCATATGGTGATTTTTTTTTTTTTGAAACGGAGTCTTGCTTTGTTACCAGGCTGGAGTGCAGTGGTGCAATCTCGGCTCACTGAAATCTCTGTCTCTCAGGTTCAAGTGATTCTCCTGCCTCAGCCTTCCAAGTAGCTAGGATTACAAGTGCCCGCCACCATGCCTGGCTAATTTTTTGTATTTTTAGTAGAGGTGAGGGTTTCACTATGTTGGCCAGGCTGGTCTCTAACTCCTGACCTCATGATCTGCCAGCCTCGGCCTCCCAAAGTACTGGAATTATAGGCATGAGCCACTGTGCCTGGCAAGTATGGTGGTTTTTAATGGAAATCTTACAATCGTGAAACAATATAGAAGAAACTTGCATTTCTGACAATGTGAAATACCTACATACCTATCAACCCTACACTGAGTTCCTGCAAGGAACATCTATTAGACCTATAGTGAGTAGCTCTGCACTTCTTGACTATGAGGGAGAAATACATTTCTATATTGTTTATCTCTGTTATTTTGGATTTCCTTGTTTCTTGCTGTTGAATCCATTCTATTTTTTTTCACTTTTTTTCTTCTAAAATTTTTTACCAACAAGAATGAGCTTGAAGAACCTATCCTATTTTAATATATAACATATTATCTTATTCTGGTTACTGGGAATTAGCTATAAATTAAATTTTCCCAACTGTCTATATAGAATACCTAATGCTTTTTTGTTGTTGCTGTTTTATTTTTGTTGTTGTTGTTGTTTTGAGATGGAATTTCTCTCTTGTTACCCAAGCTGGAGTGAAATGTCGTCACCTCAGCTTACCTCAACCTTAGCTTCCCAGGTTCAAGCGATTCTCCTGCCTCAGCCTCTTGAGTAGCTAAGATTACAGGCATATGTGACCACATCTGGTTAATTTTGTATTTTTAATAGAGATGGGGTTTCTCCATGTTGGTCAAGCTGGTCTTGAACTCCCGACCTCAGGTGATCCACCTGCCTTAGCCTCCCAAAATGCTGAGATTACAGGCATTAGCCACTGTGCCCAGCCCACCTAATGCTTTTTATTGGAGGAGTATTAGAAAACAATATTTAAAACCATATTTGTTTCTGGATTAGTGATGACTGTACCATATACTAAAAATATATTAATTGAATTGTACACTTTGTAATGTGTTAATTTTATGTTATGTGAATTATATTTCAATAAAGCTGTTATTTTAAAAATGTTAAAATGAATCATTCAAAAAAATCTTTAAGATATTTAAATATTTTTAATTAAGCTTTGAATTTAATTGAAACTACTATTTCAATGGGATATGAGAATCATTTATTAAACATATTTCTGAAATATAAAACTTTAATGTCAATCCAGATGCTTTAACTTGTGCCTATTCTGATATCCCCCTTTACATTTGCTTCTATCTTATTATTATTCATTTCCAGATTCAGGCTTTGCATTACTTTGAAGAGCATTTTATCATCTTTTTTATCTCCTGAAGCAGCCCTTTTGTTGAGAGCTTCTTCTGCTACAATAAAAAACTGTTCTGTTGGCTGAAGAATGCTTACTCCATAGCCTTTGTTGCTATAAATATGATTACTAGTCATCTTCAATTTGGGTGCTGGAAGAACCTGTTAAATTATTTGAGGAAATTAGTTTTTCAATAATTTTATTTAAAAAATGGAGTAATGAACATATTAAAAATAGCTTTGACTTTATTCTTAGATTAACAGATTTCTTCAAACAGCCGAGACTCCCAATTTTGAACAAGTGTTAAGCGCTATTTTCAGGATACCATCTAATGTATTATTAACTACAAAAGTGGTTAATAAGAAAATATTAAATGAAGTTTTCAATTAACTTTTATCAGTTACTGATAAAAACAACTAATTCTGTATGGGGATACGGCCTATGAAGCTGACCTCTTATAATAAACATGAAAATAAATAATTTCAGATAATATGTGATTTGGAGAAAATAAGGTAATGTGATAGCATGACTGGGTGGGGAGAGGTTAGAACTAGAGTGTTCTTTTTAAAGACTTCTTTGAAGAGGGACAATCACATTCAGATAGCAATAAGAAGATCTATAGAAAGAGTGCTTCAGGTGAAGGTAACAGCCAAAACAAGGTTAATAATTTCTGGGAACACAAAGAAAGCCACTGTGGCTTGAATGCATTGTATAAGAGGAAAATTGGAAGGAAATGAAGTTGGAGAAAGCAGGGCCCAGATCTTGTTAGATTTTATAAACCATGTTTATCAAATTTTAATTTAAGTATAAATCATCTGGGGAGCTTATTAAAGACCACAGTTTGTTCAAGAGGTCTGGCATGAGGCAGTTCTAGCGAACTACCTGGTGATGCCAATGCTGCTGGTCCATGGCTCACACTTTGAGTAGCAGGAATACGATTCTTCTTTTTTTTTTTTTTTTTTTTTGAGATGGGGTCTCACTCTGTCACCCAGCCTGGAGTACAGTGACACAATCTTGGCTCACTGCAACCTCCACCTCCCAGGGTCAAGTGATTCTTCTGCCTGAGCCTCCCAAGTAGCTGGTACTACAGATGTGTGCCACCATGCTTGGCTAATTTTTGTATTTTTAGTAGAGACAGGGTTTCACCATATTGGCCAGGCTGGTCTCATGCTCCTGACCTCATGATCTACCAGCCTCAGCCTCCCAAAGTGCTGGGATGACAGGCGTGAGCCACCATGCCCAGCAGGAATATGATTCTTAAAGTGTCAGTTCAACCAGCAGTATCAGCATCACCTAGGGACTTACAAAACAAATTCTCAGGCTTTACCCTAGACCCACTGAATCAGAAAGCGGAGTGGGCCTCTGTAACAATGATTCTGATGCAAGCTAACGTTCAAGGACCACTGAAAAATTGAAAAATATTTAAGAACAGAAAAAATGTTTTAAGATAAATCCAAGATTTTAAAACTGCTCCAATTCACCATTTGTACCTTATTTTCAACCAATTATCTGACAGTGTCCAGAATCATACAGGGAGTGGGAGGCTACTAATAATATATAATACAATTCCTGCCCTTAGGTAATTTATAATCTATTTGAGGAGACAAAATGTACATTCACAAAACAAAAAATTAGAATGTTCTAGAAAAAAACTTCATTAACATGAAAGTTCATTAACTACACAAGCCTAGAAAGGGACTTAGAAAGATAGGATTTATAGAAGCAGAAAGGAATTAAAAGACATTTCACCTAGAAATTATTGCTATTAATGTTTTAATTGGTTAGCTTACATCATTTAACACAACTTTGAAAGTAAAACTTCAAATGCTCCTTAATATATTATTATTCTTAATTTGCTTTATTTGTTAAGTAATTTGTAATATCAAAATGTATTACAGATCTGATCAATGAAAACTCTAAAATGTCTTTAAGAGAAAAATCTATACAATTTATCACATTCAAGGTTATTTGCAAAGAATTTAAGTACCAATTATTCAATTATAAAGCTAAACTTATTTCCCATCAGCCATCATTTGACCATATTTTATTACTTGTACTATTCTTTTCAAATTCAATGATGATATTTAGAATACCTTTTAAGACTAAAACTAATATTTTAGTACTTATAATTAGTTACAATTCATATAACAATTCTACATCAAGAAATAAGAGAATACCTTCATATTAACTCCACCTAAGGTGCTTTTTGAACTGTCACTGGTTCTGAGGTTATTACAGTGATGAATTTCATTTCTTTCCAAAATGGCTATGCTTCCAGGATATAGTTCAACACCAGCACCCTGTAAATTAAAAGTAAATTAATCTTCTTTAGACTTGAAAATTGTAATTATGTATTAGCAATGTAAACATTACATGAAAACACATGATATGCATGCAACTGTTAATTGTAAACATAATACTTAAAAATATTGAAAATGTAAATATCTGTTAGAGCATCATTAAACTTAGAAGGTTGAGGTCATATAATCTATTACCTTATTCTGCCACCCAAATGATTTTCTACAAGGGAGTCCAAAACCTCTTTAAGCAAATGTAAAAATTTACATCTCCTATAAATCCCATGTAATGCCACTAGAGTCTATTTCCTCATTTTAGTGGAAATTTTAAAAATTCTTTTAAAAGGTACTCTTGTTTTTCTATTTCCTTTAATCTTTTTTCTCATCCAATTCTCCAGTCCGTTAATAATCTTTGTGATTGTTATCTAAAGACTCAAGCTTTTAATTTTTATTTATTGTAAAAGACAAGGTCTTGCTGGGTTGCCCAGGCTGCTCTCAAACTCCTAGGCTCAAGCAATCCTCCCACCTCAGCTCCCAAACTGCTGGGATTACAGGGATGAGCCACTGTTGGGCTTCAAGTTTTTTATGTCCTGATTATTCAGAGGCTGTCAGAACTAATCATAAAACCTAACGTCAATGTCTGATAACTTACATGTCTTATTTCTTTAAAAATAAACTATCAAATAACTGGCTCATGATTTGTGGTATAGCCACTGTTTTCCAGATTAAAAAAAAAAAATCACGCTTATAAAACAAAGCTAAATATTCCTCACTTTGGACCTAGCATTTCATTTTTCCTAAAGGTATGATGACACTCTTGTACTCATTTTGTTGATGTCTACCAGATACTAAGTTTAATTAGAATTCCACTAAAAGATGAAGAAATTGCTACCCTTTATTTGTATACTAAGATCACTCAAAGGCGTTATCTATAGTCATATAAAGCCATACTTTTTAAAAGAATGAAATACCTGAGCACCAGTTATTTCGCTGTCTGTAATTGTCAAAGCAGCCCCTGTAAGAACACACACTCCTGTTCCTTCACATTTTAATATGCAGTTTTCTAGAGTCATGTGACCAGACTCCACCACCACGATACCATCAACCGTCCCTTGTTGTATCAAAGATAGATGCATTAGTTTCACATTGTCAGCTTTGGACACCACAAAACTGTCATGAGAAGGTTCAGAAGTAATCATAATTTCCTCTCTCTTTCCAACTCCTGATTCATAGGGATAAAAATACATTAAATCAGTAATCTCCCATTTTAAAGCCCTTTAGTCATTCAACAATACTTGCTACTACTAAAGTTTTTCCTTTTGTGTGTGTGTGTGCATTTTTTTTTTTTGAAATGCGGTTTCACTCTTGTTGCCCAGGCCGAATGAAGTACAATGGTGCCATCTTGGCTTACTGCAACCTCTGCCTCCCGGGTTCAAGCAATTCCCCTGCCTCAGCCTCCTGAATAGCTGGGATTCCATGCATGTGCCACCATACCCAGCTAATTTTGTATTTTTAGTAGAGATGGGGTTTCTCCATGTTGGTCAGGCTGATCTTTAACTCCCAACCTCAGGTGATCTTCCCACCTCAGCCTCCCAAAGTGCTGGGATTACAGGAGTGAGCGACCACGCCCGGCCAGTGTGTGTGCCTTTTTAGAGATGGGTCTTGCTATATTGCCCAGGCTAGTCTCAAACTCCTGGGCTCAAGTGATCCTCCTGCCCCAACCTCCTGAGTAAGCTGGGACTACAGGTACATAGCACAGTGCCCAGTTTCACATATTTTTAGCAAATAATATAAAGTAGATACATAACTATAGTGTAATCTTTTTCTTTCTTTTTTTTTTTTTTTTTTT